TGTGAAGGTTTAGCATACTCAATTTTGGATTTCGGTTTCAACTGTTTCAACGGTTTCAAGCCAATAGGCTAATTTATTACCAAATTTTTGTTTCTAATCATATCTGAACTAAACATTATAGGTAATTGACAACGAAAGTGGTTTTAATACAAAATATGTACTTACGCGGCGTAAGAAAGATTAATAGGACTGAGAGATACTCCAAAAACCACAGGCTATAATTTATTTCAAATWTTTAAAGAAGYGTGCAGTTCAAATGGTTTAGATTGGACAGAAAATCTAATTGGCCAATCCTATGATGGAGCATCTAATATGATAGGCCAATACAATGGCCTACAAAAATATATAAGAGATGAAAATCCACAGGCAACTWATATTTTGTGTTGTAGCCATCGTTTGAATTTGGTTGTTGTGGTTGCTGTTTCAGRAGCTTTGAACGCAGTTGATCTCTTTGGTAACATTGAAAGACTATACGATTTCATATCAAGTAGCAAGTTTCGAAGTGCTATGTATGAACAGAAACAAAGAGAATTATACCCTGGAAAACAAGTTCGTAAACTTAAAAAAGTGTCTACAACCAGATGGATGTCGCATAAATCTGCTCTTGATGTTGTATTAAATACATACATAGCTATAATAGAAACCTTGGGAAACATTAGAGAAGAAAGTTCTGACAAAAAAGCAGCTTCAGAAATTAATGGATTTTTAYTGTATTTACAGTCCACAAGATTTATATACAGTGCGTTCTGCTTTCAAAAAATTTTAAGCATACTTGAACCAGTCTCCCAGTTATTACAAAAAAAAGATTTTGACTTACTGGCTGTCTCATATTTAATCAAACAAAAATATGATCAACTAGTACTAATTCGATGTGAAACGGGATTAAACAAAATTCTCTCAGAAGCAGACAAATTTATCACCTTAATATCAGAGTCATTTGATATTACACCTCTTTCAAACAATCGTTTAAGGAAGAAAAAGATATTACCAGGTGAAAAAGCTATGGATGAACTGATAACTGACCCATTAGTTCATTTTAAAATAAATACCTTTTATAATACATTAGATATTACTATCTCAGAAATAAAAAGAAGATTTTTTGGTGACGGTGTTGATAATATCCAACAAACTGGATTATTTAAAGATCTCTCATTAATGACTCAAAAAAGAATGAAAGAAACTAAAAAGGATGCATCGAAAATTCCAAAAGATGCATTCGAAGTATCTAATAATATTTATGGGAGATTCATCAACAACAACGTTAGTAAACTTAAGAAGAGTACATTAATTTTAGTAGCTGTTTTGAAGAATTTCTTATCACTGAAAAGTTACCTGATTTACTTCATAAACAATATGATGAAGATTCAGAAAGGGAATCAAATACATCTGACGAAGACGATGATTATTCAATTAAACAAAGTGTMGAAAATAATGCAAGTCTAYTTCCAATATTTCGGTTTGTACAAATATTGATTATTCTAATAGCTATTAATATAGTACCTACATTTATAGTAAATATAAAAATGTATTGTATTTAATTAATTGAATGGTTTTAATTTTTAGAGTTTTTGTTAATAATAATCTCCAATCAATATTTCCTAATATTTACATATTTTTAAAAATATGTCTCACATTACCAATTGGAAGTGTTGCCACAGAAAGGAGTTTTTCTAAGTTGAAAATAATAAAAAATCGTCTTAGATCAACCATGGCCAATACGAGATTGGAAGGACTTATGACAATATCATGTGAACATGATATTCAAATAAATTATGATGAAGTTATAGATATATTTT